TAGAACCGCCTGCAGTCTATCGTACTAAAGAGATGGCGGGTGGATTTCATTTTAGGTACGCGAGCGTGGTAAGGGTAGCCTCACATGTGCACTTCTAAAGCCCCTTTAATGATGTGAATTCATTAGTTCACCCGACTAAACAAGTTTCACCGCAACTACAGCAGCTGCTGTTGGTGTTGCTTCTCAATTGCCAAGTATTTATGTGGCACTTAATGTAACAAAAGGGTTGAGATGAGCGCGTAACTCATACTTGAGCAGCACATGGAAGAGCTCCAGACACCCGCAGACATGCATTCACCAATTGATAGTGCAATGGCACCTTAGTTGCAGTTCAACTGGAGAGCAGACGAGTCGAAAAACGCGCAAAACTTGCACAAGTACGGATACTTGAAGCGAAAGTGTGGCGACGGGATTTTGTTATTTTAATTAATTTTTATTGCAAGAAAAGATTATTAAAAATTAACAAAATCTAAATAATAGCAGTTAAAAATTGAAAAGGTAAAATTGTGTTCTGAAACGAATAGAACGAACGGTATTTTGTGGGCTTTGCAAATTTTTCGCTGCCCGGAAGCCGCACAAATGTTGAGGCGCGTTGAAAGTGTGGCGAAACTTTTCCGTGTATTAAAAAAAAAACGAAAATTACATGCAAACTTAGATATGTATGTATGTATGTACGTATGCAGCTGCGTTATAAATTAGATTGAATTACATTTAATCAATTCTAATGTGCCAACGACCAGACGTAAAAGTGTGCTGACATAACTATGTACATTTGGGTGGTCCAAAAAAATAGTAAGGTCGGAATTTTAATGCTTTCACCTGTTTTTTATTTTGAAATCAAAAAATAAACATTTAAAACCGATAGTAGAAATGCTTAACTTTAGACATAGCTTTACTTTTAATCCAACCTTTAAATATAAAGTGAGCTTTAACGTTAAAGGTCAGAAAACGGTCCTTAATCGTTTATTTTACCATTTTTAATACGAACGATTTTTTATGGGTCTGCCATTGCATTTTTTGTGTTTTTTGGGGATCTAAAAATATCGTTAGTGTTAAAAAATGGTAATCTAAAAAAATTCGGCACTACTATTGGAAGTCTTCTCAGAAAAATCGAGTTTTGCGATCGCAAAATATAGACTTTCAATAATAAGTATTATTATTGGAGGTCTCCTGAAGGGAAACAGAGTTTCCCGATCGAAAAATTTTGATTTTCAAGAATTCTATGGCATTTCTACGAAAAGTGGTTTTTCCCATATATATAACGTGGAAAATTTTTAGTCCTTGAGCAACCTGTAAATATTTTTTGATTTCGAACAATCCTAGGGGATGAGAGCATGAAAATTCCTTCTTTAATTTTCTCACATGCATGTTTGGGCCACCCTAATGTAAATACTTATGTACGAGTATGTGTGTATCTAAATTTTTACACAAATGCATTTATGCATGCCTGTTGATTAGTTTTGGAATTATTTTCGAAAAAATGTTGGTTATTCCTAGCCGCGAATTAGCAACAAAAAAATATTGTGTAAAAGTGATGAACATTTTATAACAAAATGCAATCTAAATTGTTTACACCACGTGTATGAACTAAAAATAGTTTTTGCGTATTTCTCAATTAATTTTATGCACAACAAGTGCTGCGAGATGCTTCTGGAAATATTAAAATATATTATTTTGCAAAACTTTTAATTGGCATTACAATTACTTGATAGTACTTAATTAGTGCTACTGGCGTTATTAGGCAATAAAAAGTCGTTCATTTGCATGTTTGTAGCGCATAAAAAAAATTTATTTGGTTTTATCCTTTTCTCTTATATAATCGAGCGCGAATTTGTCTTAAAGTTCATTTTAATTGCCTTTATAACTATCTAAATGATCTGTGAAACGGTAAAAAAACATCGACAAATTACTTCAAACATATATGTATATGGTTGGAATAATAATATCAATAGCTTTGATCGAATTTAAATTATATGAAATAACGGTAACAGTAAAAACAAACTGAGTGCGTGTAGTCCCTACGCAAAAGAGCTTTGCGCGATGAAAGTTGGCAAATGGGGGCTTTTTTTGTAAGACGCCCGTGCCAGGATAAACAAAATCGTTCAAACTTTCCTAACTACTGTCTTTCAATTGTCTTACAAAAGACCTTCAACAATCTTAGGCAGAATTGCACTGCTAATTTAACCAGGAAAATCTATTTCTCTCGTCTTGGAAAACATCCAGTATTTGTCCTAAATTACCGCACGTTGTCCCGTGGAGTATTGGATCTATAGATGCCTAAATGTGCCCCACCAATCATTACCCTGCAAAAAATTGTGCGACTAATCTCTAAAGAGAGTATTCCGAGATTACTCTCCATCGGGTACAATTGGGCGTTAATTAGTCCAAACTAGTCTCATACGGGTACTAATGAAGGTCAATTAGTCTCGACTCATCCCTTGTGGCTATAATTGGAGATCAATTAGTCCCAAACTCATCTCTAACGAGTACTATTAACGATTTAATGATATGTACGCACTTAGTCAATGAAATTTCATGTGCGGCGCTGGCACACAGAGAGAGTATTCACCTAACAAAACTGAGCACCCCGGTTCGGATCTCAGCTGGCGCAAATTTTTATTTTTAGTTTTTAAAAGTAACTAGTCGCTTTTTATACCCGTTCGGGTATAAAGGTGAACAATTAGTCTCTTCATAGGACATGCTCGAACAAAAGCGATCAGTTCATTCCATATAAAGAGATCAAAAGTGGTATTAGTCGCATGCTCCATTGCGATTGCTCCCGGAATCATCCCGGATAAGTCCCATTTTTTGCAGGATAGTTGATCATACACAGAGGTGGGCACTACCACAAACAAGCGTTAGCTAAAAGTGAGAATGTGTTAGTGTGCCTAATTCATTTTGCATGCTGTCGCGTTCTCATCGTTACGCTCTTGCTTGTATACGTACACACGAAGATTACGCTCTTTTGAGTGTGTGATTGTTCTCTGTCCATGCCTGATCCTACACGAAGATCGGTATGTCCTTCTAGTATGTAATATTCTATCGCACCAAGTCTATGACTTGCATTTCAAGGCAAAAGATCACTACTTTTTAAAAGGCATCCATAAATGCACATATGTACATTAGGGTGGTCCAAAAATTCATGAGGAAAAGTAAAGTCGGAATTTGTATGCTCTCACCTACTCGGATTGTTCTATACCGAAAAAATATACCCATTTTTTTATTTTGAAATCAAAAAATATTTAGAGGTCGCTCAAAGCGCTCAAAGTTTTCCATGTATGTATGGTATAGAATTCTTAAAAATAAATATTTTTCGATCGGAAAACTCTGCCTCTCTGCAGGAGATTTCCTATAATAATACCCAATGGTTTATTTAGCCATTTTTTCATAGCAACTATAGTTTATAGCTCCGTCAAAACCCCCAAAAACGCTATGGTAGCACCAATAAATAAGCAATTGGGTATTATTATTGGAAGTCTTCTGAAGAGTACCAGAGTTTTCCGATCAAAAAATACTGATTTTCAAGAATTCATACATACAAATACATGGAAAACTTTGAGCGACCTCTAAATATTTTTTGATTTCAAAATAAAAAAATGGGTATAAATTGTTTTCAACATAGAATAATCCTAAAGGGTGAGAATATTAATATTCCGACTTTACTCTTTTTGGAACACCCATACATACAAAGCTTTGTTAGAGGCCACAACCATGCGACGCTGATATCAGTTAGCTTAGTTGACAGTCGCTTCGTACTGGAGCCGAAGTCTTTGCTACTGAGCAAATCTCCAACGATTATCGGCAAATCTCGGCTTGAGTAATACAAATTAATACCGGAGATTTTTTTGTAATAGGTAGTTTCCTTCATCTTTTTTCAAGTTCCTTAACTCTTTATTAAATCCAAAAAAACTGTTGAGGGATAGGTAACTCATTCGCAATAGATTTGACACAAATATTCCCATCTATATGTAGAGTTGTCCCTTTTGTAAGCCTCCTCTAAAAAGAAGATACATTTTGTGGACGCTTGCTAGCTTGTTCCACTCATTTGAGATCATTGTAGGTCTAGACCTCAGAACCTTGTCGACGTTCGCCGTTGCCGGCTCAAACCCTGCAATGCTATAATACGAACTATGGCGAGTTTCTGAATTGGTTCCTTGTAGAGCTTAAAATATCTTAAAATTATATGCAAAAATATCTTAACTTTTCAACTAAAGAACTAAAGTAATGGACTACCCTTAATTTCTTACGCTACAATGCCACGTTTTATGTTTGCAGCGCAATATTTAAATATTGCCGTATCCGTTTTCACAAAACACGCGCCGAACAATAATAAGTAAAGCGCTTTTATCTAGCCAAAAGATACCCTCTACAATCCAGCTACAAACCGAGTGGAACAAAATGAATTGGTTAGCGTTGATGATTTCCATTTCTGCGACAATTAACATAGCGCTTGCCTGCAGCCGTATACCGCCCGGCACGACAACACCCAAATCGCCAGTGGACGAGAGTTATATGGTGGCGATAGCCGGAAATCCACAAACATATATACCAGGCCAGAAATACAATGGTAGATATGAGCGAATGCAAATATTTGTATTCAAATAGTAAACATAACAATTTTTTCTCTGTCTCTGACACCTTACAGTCTCACTTACCGCTTACAATGACTTAACTTTCATCAGCTTCATACTGGCATTAGAGAGCGCCAATGAAGCTGATGGGCAGGCGGATTTTGGCACGGTTGGCTACTTTGAGATCACAGATTTGGCGGAGACACGCTTTAGTCCGCGCTGTCCCAATCTTGTTGAGAATACCAATACTAATGTGAAGACACGCGTCGAAGTCACCTGGGTGGCGCCCACGACTACAGGTAATGGCTGTGTGCTCATCAAAGCTACAGTTACACAGCATCGAGACGTTTGGTTTATGGATGATGGTTTTTTGACCAAGCGCATATGCGAAGAGGAAGTCGATGATGTGGACACACAGCCCAGTATTGTGGATCCTTGCTGTGCGTGTGACGAAGCGAAATATGAGGTAAAATAGTGCAGGGGGAATAAAGTAGTGAAGATCTGGTTTTAAAATTATTTCTTTTCAGCTCACTTTTGAAGGCAAGTGGTCACGTCATACACATCCAAAAGACTTTCCGGCAAATAGCTGGCGCACCAGATTTAGTGACATTATTGGCGCTTCGCACACCATCGACTACCGCTTTTGGAGCTACGGTGAGATGGCGAGTGAGGGTTTGCGCGAGGTGGCCGAGCATGGATCGACACGTACGCTTGAAAGCGAGTTGAAAGATCAGGTAGGGGAGTGGAGTTAGGGAGAATAATTATAGCAGCTAAAAAAGGTAGCTCATTTGCAGATCCAGTAACATATTTTTCTTACTCATTATGAAACTTCTTCCTCCAGTGATTCCATAATCCGTGTACTTCGCTTTTTATTTTCGTTGTTTTTTCTGACCCTCATTTCATTCACAGAGCGATCAAATACGAACAATCATCAAAGCGCGCGGCATCTCTTACCCCAACGTGACTGGCAAAACTTTCGCCGTCTTTCGCGTGGATTCCAAACATCATCTAATTTCGCTGGTTTCCATGATTGATCCCTCACCGGACTGGATTGTTGGTATTTCCGGCTTAGAACTTTGTTTGCCTAATTGCTCATGGGTCGAGAACAAGGTACACAATCTATATCCCTGGGATGCAGGCACGGACAGTGGACCTTCCTACATGGTAATCCACACATGCGCTTATTTTGAAGTCATGCCACTGACAAAGATTTTATTTTCAGTCTGCCGACCAGCCACAAGTGCCACCTGATGTTATTAGACGCATAAAGTCCAATTTTCCAAATGATCCGCGGTCACCATTTTACGACCCCACTGGAGCGCCTATGAAACCGCTCGCAACATTACACATAAATCGACGCAGGTTGTATGAGAAGACTTGCGAAAACGTCGAAGGTGAGTTTGAGTCTTGATTTTTTTTTATAAGACAGTCAAATCAATTGCCTGCACTTATCTACATAAACAGAGGATGAGTCGGCCGAGTGCGCCACCTATCCTTGGGGTCACTGGAGTGAGTGTAGCGCCAAATGCGGGCCGGGCACGCAAACGCGCTCACGCGAATACAAACAACCAGCATTGGCGCGGCGCTCTCGCTGCCGCAGCGCTTTGCGTGAAGAGCAGCCATGTAATGGGCGCAGATGTGGCGCCGCGAGCGATGACAATCCAGACGAAGGCGAAAATGCAAATGATTTTCAAGGTGGACCACAAGATAATCCCGAATGCGCGATCTCTGATTGGAGCGAATGGTCTACGTGTTCAGCCACCTGTGGCGCGGGTGTTATAATACGCTCGCGTCATTATCTTAACCCCCGTGCGAAGAAAAAGTGTCAGGTAGGTGGAAATATGATTTCAATAGGCACAGAAATAACGTATCTAACCCGTACAGAAAGTAAGTAAGGTGCGCTTACAAGAAACACGTAAGTGCGAAGGTCCGGAATGTGGTGGCGATTTGGGTAATGCTGCTGAAGGTGAGACCGGCGCTGAAGGTGATGAAGCAGCTGGCGAGGAGGAGAGCATCGTGGAGAATGAGCTGGGCGATGGCACGCGTGCATTCTATGGCGACAACAATAATGGCTTCCGCCAATTCCAGAGCTACAGTCAGAAGCGTGAAGACTACATACCACCAGAATGTGGTGTCTCACCATGGTCCGACTTCTCACCGTGCATTGGCCCATGCGGCAGTACAGGCTATCGTCAGAGACAACGCAAAATATGGAATAACGATGAGGTTTACGGTTTAGTAAACCCAAAAGCGGATGGCAGCGATCCTTGTCGTCATATCAAGCGCGAGGAAACAGTCAATTGCACAAATCCTGCTTGTGATACCATCGTGCCGCACCACTGCTTCGCTAGCCTCAAGACAAGTCCATGTCGCGATGGCGATGTCACCAACTACTGGTACTATGACTACCCCACCGATCAGTGTGCGATCTTCTGGGCCGACAAGTGTGATAAAAATCACAATAAATTTCCATCCAAAGAGGCGTGTGAGGAATCCTGTCGCCGGCCACGTCAAAAGTTAGATTTACAAAGTGAAAGTTTGCGCTTAGAGCAGCAGCCGGTCGATTGCATTGTGTCCGAATGGGAGGCGCGTCCGTGTAATGTGACCTGCGGTGAGGGCATGCAGATAAAAACGCGGCGTGTGCTACGGCGAGCTAAGTATAATGGCAAGCCTTGCCCCAAGCATTTGGTGAGGTTGGAAAAATGCTACCAAAGCTGCGATGAGGTCTACACTATTAGTGGCGGCGGACGTGGTAGCTTTGGTGGCAGCACTGGCGACGGCAGCGACTTTGACAATCCCCATCGCAACCGTGGCAGCTATGTGAGCGCACGTCAACTGCCCAAGAAGGATGATTGCCGCTACTCTGATTGGTCGGCGTGGACGCCATGTACAGCAAGCTGTGGTGACAATTCCATGCGACAGAAGACAAGAACGTTGTTCAATACGGAATTGAGTTATAAGTGTAAGGATCGCGTGCGTGTCGAGAAGTGCATAGTGATGCCGTGTTTGTTGGAGGGCAACGATCAGGATAGCCAGTGGTGAAGTGGGTAATGAAGGAGTAAGAAGGGAAATTAAATAGAGGCCAAAGTGAAATATTTTAACATGCAAACGATATTTATTGTACGCATGCTATTTATATGTATTTTAGCAAATTAATCAGTCAGTGTAACCTTAGTGATTTTAGTTAAGCGACAAAACTTTTACGATTTGCTAGTGCTNTTTATGTAGCGAAATACTCATTGTCATAGAGAATCTCACAAATCGATTATTTATGTATCTAACAAACTAATAAATGTTATTAAAATTTTATCTGAAACAAGAAGAGTATTTCCTCAAACTGAAAAGAGCAGCGAATTTTTTTGTTTAAGTCTGGAGTTAGAAATTGCAATACATGGAAAGAAGGTAGCTATTTTGGCATTATTATGGACACTACTATTAACTATTTCGGTCTTAGACCATTTCCAGGCGATTCAAAATTGGTCAAAGTAGCCCTCTGCTCATTTATGGACATCGATGGTACCAGCTTCAATTCCCTCGAAGTGGCACTCTCCAATAGAGATGCGAATCCTAAAAGAGTCGAATATATCGACAATAATCTAACCTAGGGAACAATAAAGGCGAACCTAAGACCGAAAGAACTCAGTATCACTGCAGTAAAAGGCTGTCCATAGGGAGGAGTCCCATCTACACTATTATGGTCTCTATTGGTTGTCGATCTAGTTCAAATGCTCAATACAACAGGATGTCACACCATAAGTTACGCTCACAGTATATCCATCATAATCAAGGGCCACCATAAAAGGACATTTAGGGCCTTGATGCAAGAAGCTCTAAATATAACTTGCAATTAATGCAGGAAAGAGGGATTTGCCACAAACCCAAGTAAAACTATAATCATTCCTTTAACCAGAAAGAGGAAGTCCAACTTTCCAGATCTAAATAGAAGCGGGACTGTGAATCCTTTAAAGGTAGAGGTTAAATATCTAGGCATAACCTCCTGTATAGAAAACTCAATTTCGAGTAACATCTCAGCTCGATTACCAACAAAGCAATGAAATCATTCTTAACCACTAAACAACTCGTAAGTAAAGCACTGGGTATAAATCCTAAACGACCTACTCAGACGGTCGACCCGATAATAGTGTATGGAGCACTCG